ATTCACATTGCTTCCTTATAAATCAAAGGAAATCTTTATGTTCTAAACTCGAAGTGTAACATACAGCTGACCTAAGTAATACTTTGAATTCTACCCTGACTATAGAGAGGAACCACTTGGGACTGAACCAAGAAATGAAAAGGTCCCCAGAGTCATAAAACCTAATATTGTCTATGGTATCAGAAAAGATTAACAGATTTCAGTCAATGTAGCCTTATAATAGAAAGTATGAGCCGAACTTACCATCTATGATAGTAACAGATGACAAGACAAAATGTGAAAATCACATTCCTGAACTGAACTGTCTAAGAAAAATCCACGGGAAGAATATGTACTGATGTTAGCTTGACTGAATTTAGTACATTACATTTCTTTAAAAATAGTAAAGATATTTAAATAAAATATTTCTAGTTCAGCTGGCAAGTCCTCCCTACTAGATTTTTATGTAATTAAAGTTATATCAGTTACATCTGTGTCGTAACTTATTTTCTATTAATGATGTCATCTAAGAAGTATTGTCTTTATGTAGACATGTTCCAGTTATATGCATGTAACACATATGTATATATGATACATACATGCATATGTCCATAGGATATACATATATAAAAATACACATATATTATTCATCTCATCATCAAAAGAACCTGATAAAGCCAGTACTCTTAGTATGTTCATTTCACAGTTATGTAAACTGATGCTTACAGAGACTACTTAACTTGCAACCTAAAGGGACATGATTAGAACTCGGGCCATTTAGTTCCTGAATGTGTATGCTTCATTACTGTTCTCTTGCACAATAACTGCAAGGCTTCCTGAGTTACTCTAGGATTTGGGCAAGCCCTATCTAAGCAACTCTGAACAGAGAAAGGCATAGTCCAGGTGGGACATGCAAGAGAAGCTGGAGAAGCTGGAGAAGCTCAGGACTGACTGGTTAGCCTTCTGCTATTCTTGTCAGGGGCATTTTAAATAGTCAATATCTTTGGGATTTCTTGCTTTGCCTGCAATCTTGTAGCAGCCAAAAACCTTTATGATTTGGTCACCAGGCCCTACTGTGATAAGTTATAAGGTACTGTAAGTGGAAAATCATGGTCATTGACCAGGACAGTCTCTGACTCAAGAAAATATGCTTGTCACCATCCTTGCATGGGCCAATAAAAGAATGTACCTTTATTATTTAAGTAAGTAGAGAACAAAGTGATAAGGAACACAAGTGTCTCAACACGAGACATTTAAAAATCTGTGAATTTTTTTGTGCGTGTATTGGCAACGTTTCATGATCAATCACTGCCAAGTTTATGCACATTACAGAGTCACCTCAAGCAAACTTTGACTTTCAGGTAGATTCAGACAAATCTGGCAATGTGAATGAATCCTAAGTCAGTTACATAAATGTATTTCACAAAAGAATTAGGAAATGGTAACACTCATAATTCATAATATTTTTCATGAACGCTTCATTTAGAATCTAGAATCTTTTCAATTACAAATGACAAAAAATGTTGCTTCATCAAGATTATTTTGTCACAAATGTATAATCATATACTTAAGCTTTGCTATATCCATCATTCAGAGTTTTACATGTTTATAGTACCATTAACTATAGCTTTAGGTTTTTTCCTTACTGTAAATGTATGCTGTTTAAAAAATCAATGAGGAATATGTTGCTCCAACATTTATAACCTGACAAACTGTCAAAGTTAATGATTTATGACTATTAGAGCTACACTGTATCTCAAATTTCATGACAAAAAAATGTTTGCAGTGTACCAAATAAGGAGCCCCAGAATCTTCAAAATCACCAGGCGCAAATAATGTTTTAGGACTGAAGTGACTTTTAGTAAAGATTAAATCATAATTCTTTGTTAATAATTTAAATGCTCCTGACCAATGAGAATCTCTGATTCAATCTGCTGCCCAATGGGAATGGTTTCTGACAATATTAGCAATGTAACTGTTTTTCATTATGCTATTACATACTGAAAGACCCACTCCCCAAAGGGGTCTAATGATATGCAAAAACTTTATCTAGCTGAGCATACACTGAAAATTTAATATTTAAAGAATGTTTCATCTAAAATATAGATACATAAATACATTGATTTTCTTCCATAGTATTGCTCTTGATAGTACTTAACCCTGGCTTGTTGTAAGAGATGTTCCTTCTTGTTTTAAAAATAGAAAAACGAACGCCAGTATCTTCTTTTGCTTTAAAAAGCTTCCATAAACATCAAGATTTTTCTACCACTCTGATAAGAAATTTCCAAGTATTTACTATCTTAAAGTTCAGAGAAGAATTAACAGGAATACTTGTACTCAACAGCACTCCAGAAGGAAAATATAGGTTTTTAAACTTTAAATTATAGGAATAAAAAAGTACCAGGGTCACCACAAATTGTTGAGTGATGAATAAAGCATTATAATCTTAGTTGTCCACATAAAAACCATCTTTTCAAAGCTTTGTTCCAACTATAATAACTTGGTGTGCTTACTAGAAAAAAATCATAGGATATGAGCTTCATGCATGATTGATACCATTACTGTTTATTTTAAGACTGTCCTTGAGAATCAATCAAATAAAGCCTTCTCAGTGTGTGTGTACTGCAACCATGTATGTAAATGCCTCTTCTGGAGAGGACGTAATGGAATACTCTTCCCATTAGAGTTTCCTACCAAAAAGAAATGCCTAATAAAAGTGAACCAAACAGAAATGCATGACACAAAACAGGTTGTCATTCTATGCTCTACAGTATTTTGATTTACTAGTAGTTTGGCTTTATATTTTACTCCTATAAAAACAGGTTATTATACATAAAGAAGCTTATAAATCCAACCAAGGAAGTGCTCAAGAACTTAAAAAAATCTATTTAAGAATAACTCAAACTATGAAACAAAATCTCCTACAAATAATTAGAAGATTGCCATTGTATCAGGTAAGCTTTTCAAGGAGGTCTCAGAGGGTGCATGACTTTATCTGGCATACTTTGCATCTCTGCACAGTACCATAAACACAAGTGGAAGAACTTAAATAGTCTAAAAATTAGGGGGGACCTCTTCTCTGTGAGCCATGTTTTCTTATATATCTTGAAGAAAGACATCATTGGAATTCAAAATTAAATCATGTTTAGTAATACTGTAACTTTTTCTCGCACAATATTTCATTGAACTGACTAGGGAGTCTAGAAATCTAAAGAAATATGGCCTAATTTATGTTTCATTTCATAATGAAAGCTAACAATCATCAAAACACCAATGTTGCTATGGCATTCCCACCTCTGAAAACACAGCAAAGATTTCCTCCAAGTAGCTAGCCATCAGCCCTCTCTCAGCTTCCTTCCCATGGCAAGTAAGACACAACCTGGCACTTACTTTTAACCCTGTCCCATGCCCTATTTCCTCCACCACCACCAGTCTGAAGCAATAGGCCCTTCTGTTTATTACATTATAAATAACAGCTTGCCCTTCTCATTGCTGCAGCCTAAGAACTAATTATTTCACTTCAACATTAAATTATCTCTTGATTTAAATGTTAGGCACAAAAATCCATCTGTGGCATGTAATTCCAAAAGTTCAAATTTGCCATCAAAAAAGTCTGGACTTCCAGCTCTTTTCTATTTCTCTTTTGCTGGAGAAAGGCAAAATGTCTTTTTCAAGATATCTGAAACTATTTCCCTTTTCAAATGGGGGTTTTCATGGGATACATTCATACTTCACACATGCAAATTTATTTCACTCATTTACTTTTTCAAACACTTTGTTTCTCTACCATTACATATCCTATGGAGTCCTAAGAACAGTTTATATAAACACAGTTATATTCGGGCTATGCCTTCACACATGGTATTTATTATGCACACTTTGTATATAAATCGGTTACATGAAGCATGTTCAAATACTGTGCAACAGGTCTTCTTATATTGTAAACACAGACTTTCAACAAAACGACAGGAAACTTTATCATATCAACCATACAGGAAAAAGTCACATTATACCTAAGAGACTTAATCATTGCCTTGAGAAATCAAGACATTAGTTCTTTTTACCAAAAGGTGTGATTCTGGTGAGACTCTCTGTCCTTCTGTCCCACCCTACGCGAAATAAACTTGTGTCACAGCCCAGGTGCATCCCCACTTCCACTGACTTATGGCACATCGCTAGCTTTAGTGCCGAGTTGATGACAGGAAGAGTACTTTGGCAGAGGTCTGACAAGTCCTTATCCTCAAGTTCCCTTTTGTTTTGTGCTGTCTGTTCCCAAAGCTATCACAGTCAAACAAATGACACTGTGAGTCCTCTCAATCTTGCCCTGAAAGTGTGAAATGAAATGAAAAAACACACCCCAGAACTATTACATGGGGCCACGTTTATTTTCAATTGGCAGGGGAGGGAGAGAGAAGACACTCAAAAGGAGATGGATTTCATGTTCTCTGAGTAGCCAGATCGAGTTACTGTGTATTAAGTTATGTCTAAATGAGAAAAGACTGTCTACCCAAGTGTTTTATCACAAAGTAATGTTATTAAACATATCAGACATTCCCATACTCTCCTCCAGACTCTTTGATTTTTGCCTCCTTTGTTAGACACTAACCACAGGAAAAAAGATTTCAGGAACAATACCAAGGCAGCTCCTGATGCCAGGCAATCAATCCTGCCTTTCGTGAGCTGTTCACGCATCCTAAACTCAAGCTGCCTTGCTCAGCTACGCCTGCCAGAGGTAGGGCTTCGCCTTCTCCCTGGGCGAGAAGCACGGGCCGGCCAGGACTGTGTCTTGGGGCGCGCAGCATCGTGCTTTGTGCTGTTAGGGATAACGGATTCTCGGTCGCACATACATCCATCACCTAAGACCCAGGGAAACTCAACAAGGGTTCCTGGGGCTGCAAGAGAAACAATGTGCGGAGACTCCGGCAGCACTGAGCAGCCGGGCTCCAGGATCCGAAGAGCGAAGGAAAGGACCAGGGAACAGCCCAGGCAAGGGGGGAGGACGGAAGCCCGAGTACTCTTACCTCCACATTGAAATACTGCTCCGTTCCGCAGACTGTAGCACATACAATCCAAAGCAAGGTTTGCAAGAAAAACACCCCCGAATGATGCACGAAATCCAACCGTCTTCCAGTGCTGAATGTGAGTAAGATCATAGTGAACTGTGCTTCAATGGATGGACGAGCTCCCCTTCGTTCTCTCCCTCTTTCCCTCTCCCTCCCTCCCTCGTTTCCTTTCAAAAAAAGTCCTCCGGGTGGGTATGCAGCCTGCAGGTTCACCCACGGCCGGGCAGGGGAAAGCGACGCGGGGCTCCGAGCTCGGCGGCCCCGGACGAGCACGGCGGAGGCAGGGTCAGGAGCGGCAGCTGGCGCTCACCATCCTCGGGGCTCCGCCACCTGGAACGGGCGCCAAGTTCACCCGCGGTTCCGACTCCAAGCTCCGAGTCGCAGCCGCAGCCGCCGCCGCCGCCGCCGCCTCCGGCCCGTGCGTCCCCACCTCCTCCGCCTCCTCCTCCTGCGCCTCCTTCTCCACCTCCTCCGCCGCCGCCGCCCCCAGCTCCTGCGGGAAGGGCCTCCGCCGCCCCTCGCTCCCTCGCCCGGGCTTCTCCGCTGCTCTCCGCGCGCCCCTCCAGAACGTTCATCCGTAATCTACATAAACTCCTCCTTCCCGGGGTCCGCCCGGCTCCCGGGCCCGGGGCGCGCGCGCGCACACGCGCACACACACGCACATGCACACACACACACACACACACACACACACACACACACGGCCAGACACGCACGTACGCGCGCTTCTTAAAGGAGAAGGCTTTTTAAAGGCTCCGGGCTGGCGCTCTGGATGTATCCAGCCAGGGAGAAGGGGCCGGGTTGCTGAGCTTTGTAATGGTGTTACCCACCCCTCACCCCCGGGTGGGCGCCTGGCATTCTGGGCAGTGCCACCTTCTCATCTCTGCCCACCTCTACCACCAGCGCACCACACGGCTTGCAGAAACCCCGGACAGGGTTTGGGTGGGGCTCAGGCTGTGGCCCCTCTGGGGGCCTGCGAAGCGCAAGGGCCTGGCTCAGCATCCTCAGTAGAGCAGCCTGGAAGATCAGGGGCGCTGAGAATCAGAGGAATTGCGCCCCAGGTTGCTGTGCTGGGCTTGGGGGCTCGGGTCAGTGGCCAGAGCTGACCAAGTTTGCATGGCAAGTTCCATGCGTCCAAAACTTTCCTGGGGTCTGCTTGGCCTCGGGCCTGGCGCTGGCTGAACCCTGTCTAGCATCGCTACCTTCCACCTTGGGGCTCCTGGAGCAGGCGCTGAGCTTTGGTCAGGAAAAGAGTGAAATAATAAGCAGGGTGGACAGGATGATCTTTTCCGAGTGCACGGTGCACACACTTACACACTGGTGCTCGGGAGCGATGCTCCCGAGTGTTAAGGACCATCCCAGCAAAGGGGTGGGGGCGTCGAAGGAATCTGGCTGTGGGAGCGAGGGGAAGAGCTGGGGAAAGGAGAGGGAGCAGCCTGAGGAAAGGCGAGTAAAGCAGCTGGGCGGGCAGGAGAAAGAGGCTGCGCGCAGACCGCGCGGGGGAGAGGCTGGCGGGGCGCGAGAGCTGCGGGCGCGAGGGGAGGCTGCTGGCGAGAGGCGCGGGCGGAGCGGGCAGGGGAGCTTCAGCAGAGGCTGCCAGGAAGGGCTGGAGCCGCAGCGATGTGAGGCGGTCGACAGGGGAGGCAGCAGCCACCAGCCCTTGGCAGGTGATGGTTTGGCTGCAAGAGGAAGGGGGGAAGGGAGCGAGGCAGGCATCTGTTTGGGGGCGATGCCAGTAAATGTGCTTCTCCTTGCCAGCCAGCAGAGGGGAAGAGGAGCTCACGGGAGAAGAAAGCAGGCGAGGCGAGGTGAAGAAGAAAGAGTGTTCTGGGCGTGACGGCAAACTCAGTGCGGGCAGAGAGAGAATTGACAAGGGTTATTTCATGCGTGAGTTGGCGAAGCAAGTACTTGCACTATAGGGGGCCCTGATTGGTAAGCAGTTGGAAAATGTTGAAGATGGTTTGCCAGAAATTGTATTGGACTGTAATCATGTGTCTCCCCGAGGAGGAGAAAAACAGGAGATGAGGAATGGGACTTTAAATCTATTTCTGTAAAAACTACAAGAAGTATACCCACCCAAGTTGACCTGAGATTCTAGGGGAGCCTCCTCCAAAGATCCGCACTGTGTAGAGCATGTGCCATCCACAAAAACGATTCTAAAGATGTAGGAAAAAGATGAATTTATTATATTTCATAGTGTGTTAAAATTTACAGAAGACTTCCAGGCATGGTATCTCATTTAATTCTCACATCTCACATGAAAACCATGGTTTGGTTTTCATTTTACAAGTGAAGACAGTGGTAGTTTGAAAGGTAATTTTCTAGCGAATCATACGAGTAGCAGAGTACAGATCTGTGTTTTCTCATTATAATCCACTGACTTTCCATGTAGTAATTCAGTCCTGCTCTTCACAGATTTATAAGCCATAGATTGAGATGACTTATATGAGGGAAGCATAATACAACACGAATCACAAGTTGAGTGACGTTAGGCCATTAACAAGGAGCAAATTTTGTCACTATGAGAAACTAGTCTAAACAAAATCAGATGCATTAACTGTGCGTGGAGGACAGAGTCTGAGAAAAGGTTTGCAATGAAATAATGAGTTAAACATTGAGCAAATAGACAAACGACGTTTTCTAAATCCTTTAAGATGGAAGCACATCTCCAGGAAAGGCTATTTAAATTACGTGTGACGAGATGGCAAGGAATCCCATTCTAAATCCTCTACTATTGGACCAGTCTTGAAATCTATGTTTTCAAGTAGTAATCCTAAAAAGATTCAAAAGATAATTTCAAATGTATGATAAGTAAGAATAAGATTTAAATTATGTGTAGTATAGCCATTAGTAATGACCTTTCCCTAAAGACAAATAAGTCTTCAAGCATCCATAACTAGCGAACAAGTTAAATACTGCTTAGTTTTAGTGATCGAGCTCAGAAAAGGTTACAGTCCAGTGAGGGAGAGAGATGTACGGTAATTATGAAACACTGTAAGATCAGCTATGCAAGATACTATGCAGTACAGTAAAAGAAACATGATTTTTCCGACGTCATTGGAAAAAGCATCAGGAAGTAAGCAATTCTTGAATGCAACCTGAAATGGTAAGTAAACATCTACTAGGCAGATAAGAAAAGGAAGGATGTCCCAGACCTGTGCACAGTGAAGGAAGAGATATGCAGATGGTTTGTCAGGGCTGGAAATCAGGGCATATTAAAATAAGGTCAAGGTCAGAAAGTTCATGACTGAGTGTGCAAAGATCAGATCAGGAAGTCTTCTGTGCTACATTTCAAGTATTTTTAAAAAGAGCTAGCACTTCAGTACCTTTACTAGATACTTGCTGATTCTGTGGAAACAGTTATGATGTAGCACTTCCCCTATTGTTTAATTTTTTTTTTTTTTTTTTTTTTTTTTTTTTTGCCTACACTGTTCCATTAAGCATTTAATGACTCCTGTCTTGGTAGCTCTTTTATTTGTGTCTCTCTAAAAACCTTCATGCGAAGTGTCACCTAAAGACTCAGCAGCTTCCCTGTGGAAATTTAATCACTTTTTGTCAAGTATGTTTGTTATTCCATCTCTCTTTTGTTATCTATGTTTGTGGTTTGAGAGCAAAGAATTATGCAGAGGTTCCTATTTTCATATCTGAATATTGTGTGCTTCCTATTGGTCTGAGAAGAGTCTGTTTTTCCTATCCACAGTAAATTAAAATGTAGACTATCATCTTTCCCTTTAGGGTGTTGATGAAATCCTTCTCAACTCTTGGCTCTTACTGTGTGTACTTTCTGTCAGATACTTTGTTTCTCCTGATGTTTTCAGGATACTAACAAACAATCACAAAATAACATAAGACTAGAGAAAAAGCAAAACCATACAAAGAAAAATAGCCGGGAATATAGCTCAGAGGCACCACCTGCCTGGCAAGCACAAGGTCCTGAGGTAGATTGCTGGTACAAAAAAGAAAAAGAAATATAATAAGAGAATCCTACAGAAAAAGTGATTGCCCATTGCAAAGACTAGTATCAATTCGGTGAAATATTACATGGAAAATGAATCTGAGGAAGAAATACTTTGACTTCTCAAGAGTATACGGATACCTCTTAAGATTCACCTTAGCTTTTAGCCCTTCACCTAAAAGTGAAGCAATTTGGTAACTGATTAATATTGGGAAGAATTATAACTAGTTCAGATAATATTGGAGGCAAACTATGTCTTATAATCACTATTGAATAGGATTTCCTTGTAAATTAGAACCTAATTTTCCTCTGGTTTATTGATTTATGTGCTTTTCACTTTTCTAGCTATGATTGTTTCCCAAAATTTGGTCATCATTAGACTTACTTGCTCATTTATTCTTCCAGTGAGCATCCATTAACCCCTGTAAAATACCAGCCATCAAAGATATAAAACCATAAACATGAAGTGCGTCAGGTAGACCAATTCAGCTTAGTTAGGTTCTAAGATACATGAGAATGAAGCCTTGAACTTCAAAGTTGTTTTCTTTTGGAATTACTATTGAAATAAATAAATTCTGAGCAATGCAAATATTAACATTAAATTCAGGTAAAAGTAAATGAGTGGAAATGGACTTTAGTACCTCTTCTTTTCCCTTTACCTAAGAAATGTGAAAATTCAAAGTGACTTGCAAGTTTGAGGAACCATCATATCAGAGAAAAAACAAACAGAATAGGAAGGTCAAGCATGGGGTCTTGTTGGTATGGAGGTTGTGTCCGTCGCCAGATGAAGCAATCCCAGTGATCTTGCCATCTTGTAGAACGTCAAGATTTTTAGATGTTCAAACTGTAGTTTGGTTGTCTTGCTTTACCATCTTTCTAAAAGACATTTCTCTCTCTCTCCTAAGTTTTTTTCTATTACCTCTGTTCAGATTTTTCAGATCTGTATTCTGAGCCTTAAACTTATTTCTATGATCTAAAATTCTTAATATTGTATTGCTCTCAACTAAAACTCACCATATCACCAACAAAATTTACCACGTTCTGCTTTTAGTGGTGTATTCCTTAGTTCCCTCATTTTAGCTGTGATCCACTATTCTACCAAAACGTGAATATATGTTTCAATTTAATATTAACTTATGCTCAGCGTTAAATCAGTCACCAGTAGCTGTCATGAAGTTTTGTCCAAAACTATTCTGACTGATTCCTTTTCTTATAATGCATTTAAACAGTGTCCTTTATAAATTCATATTTGTCATTTCACGGCTAACCACTGTGTTAGCTTCCAATACATTGTGCATTCAAATATCCTTTTTTTTTTTCTTTTTTTTTTTTTTTTTGGTCTCAAATGAGTCTTCATGACAACCCACTGAAATCTCCACTTTTTAATCTTTTTTACATAGAGCATTTATAATTTGAAAGCACATT